GAAGCGGCGGTCTGTTGGCTGCAGCGCAGCCAGGGCTGCCGTGGACCAGGCTCCCGTGCCAGCAGGCGTTCAGCTCGGTGGAGCTGCCCAGGGCCGGAGGTTCAGCCCTTGCCGGCCGCCTTCGATGGCTCCTCTCTGCTCTTCGGTTATGGAGCGTCTCGGGGAATCTCTGCGAGGCTCTGGTGGGAGAAGGGCTCCACGTTGTCCCAAGCCGCCTTCCTCAGAGGTGTCTGGGGCAGGGTGAGCACCATCCCTGGGGTCCCGCTGGGGCTGACGGTGATTCCGTGGCTCCGCAGCCGGCAGAGGAAGGAGGGTGCTGCCCTGGGCAGCTGTGGAGGGATGAGGAGGGTGGAGGCATTGCCGCGTCCTGCCTGGGGTGGGCCGGGCGTGTCCTGGGGCCCCGTAGCAGCAGAGGGATGGCCAAGGCTGTTGTCTGGCGTGGTACTGCGTTTTCTTGGGTAACGACCGAGACGGGTAAAAGGGTGTTTGACCCTGAACAGCTCCAGACCAGCTGCTGTTTGCATCCGAGCCCCAGGAACGTGCTGCTCGCTCCCAGTGCACACGTGCTGACGCTGCTTAGTCTTGTTCTAACTTTCCTTCTCCACCCCACTGCAGAATTAACAACCAGGACGGCACTGCTGAAATGCTGGTGGAAGCATTAGGTGCCAAGATTGTTAATAGCAGAGATGCCAAAGGAAGGTGAGTGCAGACTCGTCCCTCCCTTGTCACCCACCCCCTGGTGCTGCTGGGTGGGGGCGGCGACTCCCGCAGTGATTTCCACGTGACTTCCCATGGCACAAAGGGACGTTCCCGGACGTGTCTGTAGGCCTGGGCAGTCTCGCTGGGGTGGGTGCTGTGCCCTTCTCTTTACCTGCTCTCTCATCTTCCCAGGACACCCCTTCACGCTGCTGCCTTTGCAGACAACATCCATGGTTTACAGCTGCTTCTGCGCCACCAAGCCGAGGTGGACACGACCGACAAGCTGGGGAGAACTCCCCTCATGATGGCTTCTGAGAACGGGCACACTGCAGCAGTCGGTACGTGGCTGGCGGCCGCTTTCCCCGGTGTGGGGCGCGAGCCTCCTTGT